CGTATAATACATGTATATTATAGTAGGGGAAATTCTAGAATTTTAAAGATTTGTTGTAAAAAAAATATGTTTTTGTGGGGTTACATTGCAAACGCTTTCTAAACCTTACAAGATATACCAAAATAATGTACTACGGAATTGTATCTACTAAAAAGATCTACAACAAAAGTATGTCTATCTCCTGAGGATAACCTACTGTAACCATTTTTAATATTCAAATATTACAAAAATAATTGTTTTTTACGATGCTATTTTAAACAGTACATTATTATTCATTATTCAATTAATACGTTAGATACGTTGTACATTTAATGCAGATTAATATTGCTCTTTACAGCATATCATTAAAATTTATATTTTAAAAGATATCAGAGATTTTATATGCGGGGCCCAACGACCGTCGAGCTGTACGTCCGGGTGGCAGCCGTGAGTCAATTTTTATTTTTATTTTTGAAAGGTCTACTAGCAACGGAAATTACTAGTATTCCCGTTAACCCCTCCCGCTAAGCTAAATACCTTGTGTTAGGAGTGGGTTCACATCGGTAGTGTACGTACAGGAGTCGAACCTACGACCTCTTGATCGCAAGTTCAATGCCTTAACCACGGCTTCCGCCGCTTCAAACACAAATATAGATATCGTAATTTAAAATTACTTAATTTTTTATTCTTTCTGGCTGGCTTTCGTGAGCACAGGTGTTAAAAGCATTATGGCCATTCCTTTGTGACATAGCATTATATTTTATTAAAGCTAAGGCTTTATTACGATAACAAACAGCGTACAAACCACCCAACTACAACACTTAACTTGCACAAACATAAAGTTTTAACTAGTATTTGTTAAAAGAGAATACTATAATAATATATTTATCATCGAGTTTTGTTTCGTGAAAACCTGCGCTTTGTTTAAGTTCAAGCACAATACCGCCAATGTATTGTAATGTTAATGTTATGTAAATGTGGCCCTGGTGCGTGGGGGGGGAAAGGAGGGGGAAAGGAGGGGAACGAGAGGAAATTATTAAAAAAATAATACATCTAAACCGAGTGCTGCAAAAGTTTGCTGAAATATATGAACTTTTTTTTTTCAACTACCCGCCCGAGTTCATTTCATCTCGCAACATTGTTATTGACGGAATTTGATATTGTTTCTGAACAAATTCCTCGCTAACTTTTTTTTTGTATAGTAGGAATTTCGTTGCCGCAGATATTTTGCGGGGACTTAATAAGAAATGATTTTGACATTCCGCTTTAGTGAGATCGTAAGAAAAATAGCTGACAGCTGGATTATATCGCAGCAGAGTAGTTGTAACCGGCGGTTTGTTATATGAAGCCGACTGAACGAATACATTTACCATAAGAATTATCAGTGATTGGCTGAGGCCATATTTGCACAAAGAGAATAATATTTATGCTGAATTTGCTATAAAGAAAAACGTGTATTTTGACTTGGTTCTAGTTAAGGAAGTCCTTGAATATGTAGATAATAAACGACGTTAATAATGTAGGATGCTGAACATTCAATTTGTTTACTGAAAAAAGAAATAATAATTTTAACATTCATAATATATAATTGTAATAAAGACATAGCCTTTCAGAATTTTATTATTGAAAATGCATTATGGACCTATTTAAACATCGGTATTTTTGTATTATCAGTGTGGTGACTGATTAAGAATACAGAATGTCACCACCCCTATTCGTCTCGTGGGTGTCGTAAGAGCCGACTAAGGGAGCAAACCACGTAGGACAACAACACTGCAAAGAGACGGAAAACTTGAAACAGACCATATACAAACCCGTCTGGCCAGCGTGGTATAGTAGGCCTGAACTTCCCTTCTAAGGAGAGACCTATGTCCAGCAGTGGACTGTTTAAGGATGTTGATGATGATTTTTGTGTGTTGACATCGGACATATATACTTTTTATGCAATCTTATGACAGTAATGATTACTTAAGGACATTTTATAGCTTAATTTCTACTAAAAATGATATCACTCATCAAGATAATAGTGATAGAGCTGGCCAAGTGTAATCACTGATAAACACTATCACTGCGACACGATGGGTCGGCGATTTCAGGATCCAGGTGACTGGCAGCAGATGGACGCAGACTACCCAAGACCGAGATAGTTGGCGCTCCTTTTGGGGCATACGTTTAGCAGTGGACATCAATCGCCTGGTTGATATTAGATCACGACATACTGCCCATTCAAACGGAATCACAGAGCATTAGTCCAAGGAAAGAGTTGATCAACAAAGTCCATTCAAAGCCTGGAAGAAATTGCACTAAGCGAAAAGACCGCCCTTTGTACATTACATGTGTTGTTAATTACCTAATAATGTCTGTAAAACCCTGGTGTACAAATAAAGTAATTATCTATCTATCTCTAAGTAAAAAAACATATTTACGCTATAAGTACAGGATTATATACCAATATTTATAACGTAATGTATATTTATTACTGTTAGCATTTGAATTTTTCTGAATCGTTTATGCACATTTTACGTTACCTTAAACATTTTTCGGCCAAGATTTTAGTGATGAAGAGAGAAAAAGATATAGATCTCTGCACAGGTGTTAGTCTTACGCCGAGTGTGTGATGATTTCACTAAAAAACAAACCCCGACGACCAGCCTAGGCCGTCTTACTCTGCTAAGACCCGGACCATGTAATTTGAGATCCTCCTTGAAACGACACTAAGCTTCATCAGGCTCTATCAGGGGCCCACGCCGTGCCTACATTTCATGTTTATTTCTGCAAAAGATAACGGCCATATATACACATTCAGTAGTGTTAAGTGCTTCTGCTATGTAGGACTCTAGTAACATTTACGTGTTATGTGGGTATCTATTATTGACCCAATCCTATGCGTTTTCCTAACTTCAATTTTTGTTCTCCGATAGTCCCATCTGAAAACGATTAAATTCCTAAGGAATATTAGCATCAGGCAAGCGGATAACTACTAAGCAATAGTTAAATCTTTTACAATTTAACTCATTGCATCGAATCAGGTTACCTTGGATTTAAAGCAAGAAAGTGATAATGTTAATAATCCTGACATAATCCTTTTAACAGGTCTTGTTTTTTGACTTTTCTAACGTTTTAAAGATCGGCACCAGATGAACATAAAACTTTATCTGCCATGTAAGTTGAGTTTTATCTGATCTCTACAGATGCTAATGCTTACCAACATTGTCCTAACGCATCCTTCGTTTTAGACTCCGTACTACCTTTAGCCCCCGTACCCCTATTCATCCCGTGGGTGTCGTAAGAGGCGACTAAGGAAGTAAACTACGCAGGATAACAGCACTGCAGAGAGAAGGAAAACTTGACACAAACCCTATACCAACCCGTCTGGCCAGCGTGGTATAGTAGGCCAAAACCTCCTTTCTACGGAGAGGCCTATGTCCAGCAGTGGACTATTAAAGGCTGTTGTTGTTACTACCTTTAGCCTTGCGGCTCACGGTATTTGACACGTGAACACATCTTTTCCAATGTTTCTGTTACTGTTATAAATAATAGTATATATAAATACACATAGAACCATGTTCAATGCTAATTCTGGAATGGGGTAAAAGAGATTCAATAAAATCCTCATGTACAAATTACTATGATGTTTATTCATAATATTATGTTTACATTTAGATCAAGGATGATATACAGCCTGTACGGGTATGTAAGTAGTATGTTTGCTAGCGAAGATACTACAGATACATAATTATGTATGTTTATATAAATATACATGATACACCATTCGCCATATTGCATGCAGCAGTCTCACGCCTAGCGCTTATTATGTCATCGAAAAAAACTTAAAAATGAGAATAATTTAATAAAAAAAAATACTTATAATTATTACAAAATATGCTTTTTTATCCGATTAAGTATCCGATACCATAATTAGCGCACAAGAAAGCTCGCTGATGGCTAAAGACTCACACAACCCCTACTATAGAACAATTCACATTTAACCAACACGATCGATAACTACTCCTGGGATCATTATATTTATTGCTGCAACAAATTGTATATAGGAAGATTATATAACATATACAATTTTATTACTATTATTAAGAGATATTAAGCTTAATTATCCATCAAGCGGACATTAAATAAATCATCTTCCTTGAGTTTCAAGCGGCTGCTTAAAGTAATGTTTGGAAGAATTTTTTAAGGTGTATTAAAAAGAAAATTGAATCGACAGTATAATTAGATAGGCTCCAGATTTTGGTATGCTTAACCAGAACGTAGTAGTTATTTATTTGTTGCTTCGATATAATGATGGGAAATGCTTAACATCTCATAATAAAGATTATTAATATTCTCAGTAAAACTTCGTATAAAATGCACTTTATGTACTAGTGACTATAAATTGATTAGAAATTAATCGTTGTCAAATTTTTTACAGCTTTACATTTTATTCTACTCGTAAATAACACTTACTTTTATAATATTACATCTGTCTGAATGGTGACTAGATTATGTTTCGTTTTTGAATAAATTAATAGTAATTTAAACGTTCAGTCTTATTATGCACAGCTAAATAACAACTAAAGGATAATTTACCTAGACAAACTTGAGCAATAAAATAATTTAATGTATAACAAATGTGATTGAGTAACATAACAAAACTAGTGTAATATTAGGATTAGTTGATAAACATCGCTCTCGATCGTAACTCGCATCGATAATTTTAAAGAAAGATCGTGAGATACAATGGTAGCGCTCTTATGATAAAACATCATGCCATTATGTCCGATGGTAGGTTTCTACCTATTACTACGGCATCAGAGACTTCAGTTGTAAAAATGTCTGCGGTAACTTGTTGTTGTTCAGTGAACATTAAAAGGAAAATGTTTTCATACATTAATTTTAATACAGCAAGATAGAACGAGATTACAAGCGATGTATATACGAAATAAACATGACTAGATACAAAACATAACATGGCTAAACAATTTCCTGCAAACAATCAGTTAGGGATTTTAATTTTCAAGTTGCTTTCACGGCAAGTTGGTGTAGTTGGCGAGATCCTTGCCATTTTTGTACATTGAGGTGATGATAGGGTCGAGGTTGTGATATTCTTTGCCAGAGCGTGGCCGCAATGTGTTTGTTGGCTGTCGACTAAGTCTGGAACAAGATAAATGATCATTTCACAAATGACTTTAGCAAATGTTAAATTGCAAATTAATGAGGCAAGTATAATTTTAAGGTGTTTAGAGCCTTACAAAATATTTTTTTTAATAATTCAAACGATTTACAGAATGACACACAAGAAATTATTTTTAAACAAGATGCAGGAATGCTGTAACTTTAACTTATATATATGTTGTATTTTAGCTCCTGAACAGATGGATCGATTAGATATTTTTTATGGTATATGGCAAACGAGCAGACGGGTCACCTGATGGTAAGCAACTACAGCCGCCCATGGATACCTGCATCTTAAATGTCACAAGTGCGTTGCTGCCATTGGAGCGTTGCCCCTTTTTTGATGAAACAAGGCGGCTTGATAGACAGTATAACTTAGATATAATTTATCAAAATCTATTCATCTGTTTGAAGATCATCAACTCTTTAGTAGTCATTAAGGGAATTTTGGAATCCCTGGTGATTTTAATTTTTAATATACAATTATCCAAGGTGTTGATTAATTTAATAATTTCTAATAGATACCTCATTCCCGATGGTGTGTCAGAGGATGAATGTGATGACGTCATTGAAAGAGTCTCGATATAGTCAGACATATCTGAAGTTCCACTTGATGTACTGTGAGTATCCATTACACCTAAAAATGTAAAAAGTATATACATGGTCATGAAACCAGAAATAAGAATTCTTGTAAGATAAATATGTTTAACAAAAGCTTAGAAATCGAACATACGTTTATATATTTATATAGAATACGTTTTAAAGACTACCTTTGAACTGCTTTGGCGGAAGAACAGGAACCTCTGCTTCAGCTGATGATGACTTAAGAGTCGTTCTGGGCAACTGCATCGGCATATCTCTCAAGAGATCAGAGGACTTCGATTTCCTCGGTAATGAAGAGTGTACACAACTTGACAAATTTCCTCTCATTCTTTTGTGCACCATGTAGTGATATCGTGAGTGACCAGAAGTCAATGGCATTTCAAATTCATTAAATTCCACTCCACCATGTTTCATTGAACAGCTGGACACTCCGGAATCATTCGAACTAGAGGAGTCTCTGTTACCTCCAGACTTACAAGGAACACTCGAAGATCTTTTAATTTGTGCATTGTCCATTAATTTGTTTCTCAAGTGAGGTATTTCTTTAGAAGAACTTCCTTCAGAAGTTTTATTTTCAGATCCTGACGACTTGCAGTCACAGCATTCTGGTTCATTGTCGCAAGGTGTCGATGATCTCCTATTTTCAACAGTCATGTTTCTCAAGGTTTCTAGGGAAGATGAGGTTGCGTGGCTCCCTACACTGCTGTCAAATTCTTTTAAATCTTCAAGAAGATGTGCCGAGTCTACCGAACTAGAGCGCTTCTGCATAGCCTCTTTGTTATTGTTACCAAAGGTTTGAATTCTGTTTTCACTACCAGTTAGAGTAGGTATGCTAAGAGACTTTTCTAAATCCACTTTATTAACTTTATGAATCGGATGTTTTAAGCTCTGTGACCAATTTGGAATTGGCGACATTGGCGTATAACCTGGATTCGGCCCAAGAGTTTTAGTACTGCATTCTCGCTTTCCTTCATTAGAAGGTCCCATTAATAAGTACTCGTCATTTTTGTTTTTTTTCGAGTCTATATTTATTGCAGTTTGTGAATGACCACATTTTGAGCAAAGTTTGGGTTTCTTTGATATAGAGTTTACAGCAAGATCTATATTTGCACTGAGCGCGTCTAACTCTTTCTGTGTTACTCCTGCTTTCTTTAATAAATCTTTTGCATTTTCGTAGTATTCTAAAGATAAAGCAAACTCTAAGTTTTCATAATTAGCGTGAGGACCTTCAAATTCTTTTTCTTCCTTTGGCTCAATATTCTGATAATTTGTAAAGTTCAGTTCACGAGCTGTATCACTAGATTCTTTTTCAGTACTAGCAGCACTTTGTCTGTTTGTTTTACGTGATACATCTATTGTGGCATAGAGAGCCATATCATCTGAGTTTTGATTTGTTATTTCAGCATTTTTTTGTTCACTTGTTGTTCTTTTGCAATAAGGAAGACTAATTAGATTATTTGCCCAGTTAGTTACTTTTTGACAGGGGCACTCTACAGGTTGAAGATTTTCATCGCATTCTACGATGACTGGTTTTCTATTACAACCGAATTTTAATATGCATCCACAGTTTTTTTGAAGTACTAAGTTGCCAGGGGCTGATTGTCTTGTTACTTGAAACAAATCATCTGCTAAGGCTTGTTTTATTCTTTTTGGAGTATCATAATACTCTGGATTGTCGATCTGTAATAGACACAAAATCTTTGTTAATATTTTAGGGTATTAAGTAAGAAAAAGTAACATTTGATATAGTTATACTTACTTCAACGTGTGTTGTTTTGGGCACGTCATAGTTTTCATATGGTCCAACTTTAGGATTATTAATTGGATGGTTATCATTTTTAAGACATGGGCAAGCGTTTGTAGGCAGAGGTGCAGGAGGCTTCTTTTGATCTAAATGAGCAGGTTTTGGAGGTCTCTCTGGTGGTTTATCTTGACAATGGCAAGCATCTAAAGTTTTTCTAATAGCTCTAGGAGTCAAATACTCTGTGCTATTTGAAGAATTATCAGAACTACTTTCTGCTACAGGTTCCATAGTCCAAGCTGGATTAAATGATGTACCAGGAGTGAGAGCTACTGTTGAAGAACGAGATATAGCTCCTAGTTTTGTGAGACAATTGTTGCATCGCTCCAATGTAATATGGTCAGCTCCACTCCATGGTGGCCGGGAACCTACTTCATCCCCATCATAATTACGCCTTTCATCTGACGGCCAGAATGGTGACACTCCCCCACAATCTTCACCGAAAAAGTTCTCTTCATAAAGTCCACTGGCCGTGTCTGGTATAGATTGCTCACCGGAGTTAAAATCCGATAGTCGAGTACTAGTGCGTGTTTTATTTCCTATAAAAGCATATATTGTAGTTAGCATTTCACAGTTAAGGTACAAAAGATTTTGAAGATTTAAATATTATAAGTAAAGGAAAGTTCATAAGGAAGTAAACTCAGTATATCACTGCAGCCTTTCATGCGTATATTTCTTTAGAAAGTTAGTATTTTTAAAGTCCGTAGAATTTTCACTTACCAGTACTTCTCCTAGATGCAGCAGGTGTGCGTTGCAGAGTTAAGTTCCCTTGAGCAGCGAGGTCAAAAGCATCTGTGATATCTTGCGCCTGGTCAGTTATAAGCATGTGCAAACCTTCACCCTTTCCGCAGTGAGAACCACCTTCGAAACAAAATCGGCCTTCGACTACTCCATAACGTCTGTAGGCATAAAAACAATGTCAATGGTTTTTAAGTGTACTTCGTGTGACAGAATCACCTAATAAACTATAACCTTCCTTAAACGTGATCAGTTATAACCAGTATACTACATATCACCATTCTACAAAATTACAGGATCGAGAAAAATCCCGACTAACATACAATTCATTCATAAACTAATAACGCCAAAAATTTCAATAAAAGTGATAAAGTGTCAACTAATTTAATAACTGGAGTTTGAACCGTCGAATTGTAAATGCATTATACCATGTTTGTCTCTCTCGAATCCCTAGTATTCACTATCTCTGTCTCTTTTCCATTGGAACAAAGTGCAGTTATATTAGCGAGTGTAATATGTTATGAAAGCAGTTAAGAACTCGTGTGCAGTTGTGGCCTAACATACAGACTTATTGGGACAGCAAATGGACATTAAATAATCATTTAGTTATGTTGGACTCGGTGGAAAGTTTGTAATACTAAATTATTTGGGTTAGTATAGTTAGTTTGAAATTTGGTTAAGGTCTATTAGATACTTATTATGTGAATCTAACACAGAAATAGGTTTAAAAGATTTGTTTTTTTTCGAATTAAACTACTCGGGACCTTTAACAATTACAACTATAATTGAAGTGTTTAAAAAGTTTATTTAATTAAAATATGAATTCTAAATGATGTGGGCTTAAATTATCCGTTCAAGAATTTTTGTACAAAGTCTCTCTTCTGTAATTCTCATGTTTATTTCATAACCCTCTAAGCATTTTGTTATAAGTCATTTCCTTAAAAAATAAACATTATCATGGTGACGGTACCTCGCGCCTACTCCACAAGATGGCGACCGGAAGCATCGGCCATTAGCGCATGATGGCGTCCGCTCGGCGGCGAAGCGCATAAAGACGTCACTACCGGATTTATGCGTCAAGGATCGCATAAACCGTTTTTACTGTCATGATAATATCTTTCAATGTTGTTTTACTGTTTACTTTATTACTTTATTTTATTTTAGGTTAACTGTCTCTTTATGGTGGTCATATGGTGTTATTGCTATTAAATTCGTTTTCGGGTAAATAATACGTAAAACGCACACAACACACACCTAACCTGTTACTTATGTTACTACATTTATTTGGCAAATAATATAAAACTCTATATCTCAATATATTGATTAAAACTACGATGAGCCATACCATACCAAAAGTTATTAAAACGGAACGGAACGGAACTTAAAACGGAATATTTATCATGTCTATTGTCGGGGGTTGATCATGGTCGTTGTGCCGAAATATCGAAAATATTGCATTAATAATAATTTATCTCAAAACTTTAAAATCGATAAGCCGTGTTTACTTAACTTCCAAATTGAATAAAAGATCTAAGACATTAAGATTATATCCAGGTGAACAATTAGGACTCCTTACCATTAAAAATGTGCAGACAGTCACACTGATGCAGTGACTGTCACCACATTTTTAATTGTGTTGTAGAAAAGTTTAAATTAACTATAAAACCTATCACAATGCTAATGTTCCACTAAGGTACCGCTGGTATATCAATAGTAAAACATGATTAAAGTATATTCAATAAAATAAAAAACAATCAAAATCAAAAGCTTCAAGCGTGTTAAATATAGAAATATCTAACACGCTAAAAATATATCTTACCTTAAATGCGCCAGCTCCCATAAACCCAACAGGCGTGGTGGTATTCCACTCGTAAGCGCAAATCGCCTGCCCTGAAGATGCAGTCTCGCCGGGCCTGCGGGTAGCTTCTTCGATCCTCCTCCACCAATCATCACCAAGTACTCTTTTGACGAGCCGAGCTGACCTCCTACTTTCACTTGCCAGGCTATTAGTCTTTCTCTTGTTTCGAAGGCCAGGACTACTGTGACATCTTGGCATATGATGGCAATGGTGTTTGACTCTTTGTCGAGGGTGAAACCAGATTCGAAGCCGAGGAAATGCTGAAGAGACAATGAAGCCTTTGTTTGACCTTTCTTGTAACGGTCTTTTGGGTCTCTGTAGAGTTGTAGGTGGAGGCAATCTGTAACGAACAGACATAAGAATTAAAATAATAAATATTTACACAAAACTTTCGTCTTACACTACACATAATGAAATAATATTTTTAGTCTTATTCTGCATGTCTGTTAAATAAAAGCATATTTAAAAAATATATCATGTTTGATAAATTATCCAATTTAATTAAATGACAAAAAAAAACAGGAATGAGGTGATCCGGCAGAGAACCAAGGTCACCGACATAGCCTGCCGGATCAGCAAGCTAAAATGGTAGTGGACTGGCCATATTAGCCACAGAACCGACAAGCGTTGGGGAAAACGAGTTCTTGAGTGGAGACCACGTCTCGGCAAACGTAGTGTAGGACGCCCACAGTAGGGTGTCCCGATTTTTTTTAATTCTTATTTTAGCTGCTTAAGACCTCTCAAAAGTTGCGCTGTTAGACGTAGATTAGCGTAAAAATAATTCAAAAAATATTTAAAAATATCCTTACGGCTCTACCAGCATTTTTATTTACTGAAAATTCGCAAAAACAACCTTGTAGTCAATGTCGTATATTCTATGTTTTATGAATCAATCCTGTTTTGTCTTGTAATTGTATCAATAAGAAAAGCCTCGGCTATGATTTGCAAGTATCGACAGGTTGTTTTAGCGATCAATCGGTTTGGATCGGACTTGCAAAATTCCTACAAAATTCATGTTTTGACTTGATTTTCGTACGTGCGCTACTTCTACAACAACAAAGTTCGTCTCATTTCTATTTCAATTTTACTCTTGTAAGGAGTTGTTCTATTCTTCTTTGAAAGAAAAACGTAATTTGCGTTACTTAATCATAAAAATGTGTTCAAGACGAAGTGAGACTACTTGTACTATATTGGGACCTTATAAAGAACTTGACGATCGCCAATTACCTGTTATAAATGACGTTATTAAGTGCATTTTATTTACTAAAAGTGAATTAAAACTACAGAAAAACGGAAAAGATCCATCGAACACAGAAGTCTTTTCAATAGTTTCTGGAAAACTTAACACAATTTGGACCAAAGCTTCAATTCCCATCGTTTCTAACGTACGGGTTACTCAACTGCTAACCGTATATTTTAACAAATATTTATCACTAATAAGATATCCTAAAAGTAAGAGAAATGATAGCTATGACAACAGAGTTAAGTGCATTTTGGAATCGTCAAATAAGCTTTTTGACATCGCTGCTTGTAAGTGCACTTCGTTTGAAAATTGTTCCTGCACTAAACCCAAGAAAGTTCCCATTTCTGAAAGAGATTTTTTACTGGACCAAAGAAATGATAGGAAAATGGCAATAAGCGGCGTAGACGCAAAAGGAACTGCAAGGCTTTTAAATAAACATCAAAGACAAGAAAATTTGAAGCGGACAGAGCAAGCATGTTTTCCGAGTACTTCACAAACCGATACTGTACCGGTACGCGTGTTGCCGCCTCGTTCACAGTCGCTTTCAATAGAACCTTCTACTAAAAGTGACTTAAAGGAGTCTCCATCTAATTCATTTAGTCGGAACACTCTGACGCTGCCAACAGTAGCTAAGGTATGTGATCGATACGGACTATCAACGCGTTCGGCAGCTGCAGTCGCTTCAGCAGTCTTAGTTGACGTAGGAATGGTATCTTCCGAAGATCTAAACCTTGCGATTGATAAAAATAAGATTCACAGAGCTGTTTCAAAGTCACGTACCCAAGCCAGCAAAGACATCGATAAAATTACTATAAAGAGTATTTACTTCGATGGGCGAAAAGATAAAACTCTCAAGATCAATAAAATAGACAGCCTGTACCACCGAAAAGAAGTCTTAGAAGAACACATTTCAGTTCTTACAGAGCCGGGATCTATTTACTTGGGACTTACGACGCCGAGTCGAGGTACTGCGAAAGGGATTGTCACTTCTATTATAGAATTGTTAGAAAATCAAGGATGGAACTTAGAAGAAGTAAGTTGTGTGGGTTGCGATGGCACTCCTACAAATACAGGTTGGAAAGGAGGTGTCATTAAATACCTGGAAGACTATTTGAAGAGACCGTTACAATGGTGTGTTTGTATTCTTCAATTACCGCTTCGCCATTTGTTTATTCTCTAGATGGTAGCACATCTGGGCCGAAAGAATACTCAGGACCTATTGGAAAACAGCTAAATGTTTGTAAAAGTAAACCACTAGTGTCTTTTTGTGCAGTGGCTGGCAATTTGCTCGAATTACCTGATGACATTGTGAAGGAACTAAGTACGGATCAAAAGTATCTGTATGAAATGTGTCATGCTGTGACGACTGGTTCTTGTTCCCCTGAGTTAGCGAGCCGCCAACCTGGAAAAATGGCGCATTCAAGATGGCTAACTACTGCCAATCGCATACTCAGACTTTATGTAAGTACTGTTTCGTCATCAAATAATTTAAAGCTGCTTGTCAATTATGTGGTCAAAGTTTATGCTCCAGTTTGGTTCCTCATTAAGAAAAACTCATCATTCAAAGATGGAGCCAATCATATTTTTCAAATGGTTACATACTCCCGATTTTTGCCTGATAAGCAAAGATCTATTGTGAATTCAGTGATAGAGAGAAACGCTTTTTTTGCTCACCCTGAAAACTTACTTGTTACCATGCTATTCGACGACAAAGAGCATATTCGAGAGCTTGCAGCTCGCAAAATATTAAAGGCAAGAGAAGCAGAAATAAGCAATACTCGCAGGGTATTTAAAGTACCAAAACTTAACTTCGATGCGCGATATTACATCGATTTGATATTTTGGCAAGAGTGTGAGATATCCGCTCCACCGATTTTGCGACAGATGTCCGACAACGAACTGAGAATTAAGGCTAAAGAACAAAGCTTCGATGTTATTGATTTCCCCTGTCATACACAATCAGTGGAAAGATGTGTAAAGCTAGTGACGGAGGCTTCTCTAAGTGTCACGGACGCTACAGCTCGGGATGGTTTAATCAGAAACAGATTAAAATCTCGCGCGGAAATGCCTAATTTTGGCCACAAGAACCAATTTCGTATTTGAAATAAGCACTAATTATAAGTATTTAAATATTATATATAATATATATAATATAAGTATTTACTGAACATTACCTTATGTCTTTGTAGTACCTATAAATTTGATTAAAACCTTTAAAACATTATTTTTGTATCATTTATAGTTTATGTTCGAAACCTCTAAAAATGGCAAATTTGAAAAACTTCTAGGATCGGTAGAGGCCTAAAGATGACAAATATTTAATTAAATTTTGTTGTATTTGTAATCTATTCACAAAAACGCAACTTTTGATACCTCTTGCGTAGCCGTCGCTTTAAAAAAAAAAAACCCATACATTGACGGGACACCCTAGCCCACAGGCCAGGTAGAGTGACGATTTGCTCAAGTTAGCTGGCAGAAGCTGGATGCGAGAAGTCCAAAATCGATCTAAGTGGCGGGCAATGGGAGAGGCCTATGTCCAGCAGTGGATTGAGATAGGCTGATGATAATGATGATGATTAGGTTTACTTTTAGCAAAAAGAAAATTATCTCAACTCATATTCATTCCCAATGTTCCAAATGCGTAGTGCTTATACTATTAAAAAATTATAATAAAATATTGTCATAAAGCAATCTCGTTAAATCCGTTCATTGACCAAGGCAGTGCGCCATAAACACATACTATATCTTATAAATTCTCATTTCTTATCTATCATAAACTAGTTACGGCCTTCTATGAGAATATTTAAAGTTATGAAGATATTCCGAGGTCGTAAAGTAGCCAAGAACAAGATATCCCTTTTTATACTAAATATGGTCCATATTTTGTTATTGACACTTACTCGTATTTGTAAGATTCCATCCTTTGTGTCACAAACAACATAGTTTTACTTTTATGTACGAATTATTGCTGTCGTAAAATAATTTGTAAGGTGAATATAGAGGAACAAGGTGCGGAGAGCGAAAAAATGACAGAATGTAAGATTTACAACTTTTATAAACATAAACTTGTATTAGAGTTAGAAGAAACGACACATATTTATGCCTTTTTCAATAGCCAAAGGAATGGTGTTCTGGTATTCATTTTTAGGGTTCCGTACCTCAAAAGGTAAAAAAGGAACCCTTATAAGATCACTTTCTTGTCCGTCTGCCCGTCTGTCCGTGTGTCACCACCGATTTTCTCAGGAACGGGTAGACCTAGCAAGTTGAAATTTATACCAGATACTGAGATTTATGGTCCCTATTAAGTGTCCCTACCAAAATATGCCTTAATTTTCAATTTTTTTTATTTTTCAGAACTTTCTCTTTACTTGTGCTGTAAGACCTTGCTTATAACCAAAATTGTCACTTCTAGGTCAACCGGAAGTACCCTATAGGTTTTGGGTCGAAAACCTATATGGTAGTTCCCGTTGACTTAGAATCACGAAATTTGGCAAAAAGAAACGTCTTATAACACAAATTAAGGGATAATTCCAAAAAGTAAACAAAGTTGAAATTTTCGCGGTACTGTAATTTGAGGTACGGAACCCTCGGCGCGCGAGTTCAACTCGTACCTGACCGGGTTATTATTTTAATTTCCATCCGTTAGACCGTCATGTTAAACTGTCCAAGAGACTTATTCTTCCCACTCAAAAGTAAGTGATTCCGTATTTGTTAAGATAATTATAGCTGCATGACATTTTTGATATTACATTACTCATATTCTTAAACAAATTGCCCGATAATGAGCAGACAGCGGTGTCTTATACTTCGGTGATACACGTGGCACACCGTCAAAGAACTAAGTTACAGCCTAATGCCGGTCATCATCTGCCTACCCTTATTAAAATTTTATTTGGAGTCGGCGCAGTAAGTGCTTTTCTTCCATTCTACTTTATCGTTCGTCATTTCACTGTTAACTCCCTTCCTAGCTATGTCCTCTCTCACACAGTCGATCCACCATTTCTTTGGTCTTCCCCTTCTCTTGCGCCTTTCAACATAACACTTTAAAGCTATATATATAACACTTTAATGCAGGTGAGGCTTGAACAAAGAATCGT